CACTACCAGGGAAGGCTCGAACTCGACACCATCATGAAATATTATTGACCCTCCTGTCTTGAAACACTACCAGGGAAGGCTCGAAATCGATACCCTCATGAAAAATTATGGACTTGCAGAATTCCGCACGAGACTTCCAGAGCCCGTCCTGTCTTGAAACACTGCCAGGAAAGGCTCGAACTCGATACCCTCATGAAAAATCATGGACTTGCAGAATTCCGCACAAGACTTCCAGAGCCCGTCCTGTCTTGAAACACTACCAGGAAAGGCTCAAACTCGATACCCTCGACTCCCTCAATTCCGGAACGCCATTGAAAACCCATCATCCACAAGCCCAGCCCCAATTCCAAAATCGAAAACTGCCTGGAAGCCCGACAAAACCTGTAACCGTTTTGAGAAAGCATACAGAAAGCCAAAGGAAACTTCATAAGTCTCTACAAATCCGGAATCCCTCAACTCCAGTTCCAAACCAACTGGGGCTCTGAACTTCAAGCCCGAAACCTGGAAAGCCAGATGCAAAATCCTAACTCCCAAGCCCCAGACTCTCTGAGACGAACATGACCCCTCTGAGTATGTCATAGCTTGACCTCCAGAACTTAAACTGCAAACCCTGAACCTCGAACCATTAATCCGAACGTTATGCCTGAACCGTCTCAGTACAAACAGCCGATGCGGAAAACCGTGTCCCTTGGGGCCCGTGGACCAAAAAGCGCCCCTCGGCTTATCTCTGGACCTCCACGGAAAATTGATGCCGATCTTTTGCAGCATCTGCTCTGGAAAAGGGGGGACCGAGAGTCAGAGTCGAGGTGATTTCAACAATTTCCACACCCAGCCGATGACGAACTTGAGCATGCTGGAGAAGAACGTGGAGACGATCAGCTTCCGCAGCCATGTCCTCGGGCATGCCTATTGCTCTGGGCGTGGTGGCGCCTTCTGGGAACCATGCATTTTGGACTGAAGCAACGAACAAGCAACACCACCACGTCCGCTAAGCCCTCCATCCAAAGCCTACGGTTCCCCTTCAGGCGTCCTGGTCACCACTTGGCCCATCACAGGAAACTGAAGCTCCTCGTGCCTCAACGCGATGATGCGGAACAAGGCGTCATCCTCGGAGTTGTCCAGCCGTGCTCGCTGGGCATCCACCACCAACCCGACTCTCTCGTGGTAGGATGACAGCGACAGAAACTGCATGCACAAGAAGCACGCGGTGAGTTGGGGATGGTTCGCGAAGAGATTCAGCCATAAAGCCAGCAAACGATAAACCGGAGAACTTGCTTGAGGCGTGCCATGAATCACCAGCACTATGTCCGCAAATATGCCCAGCACCATCGACAAGCCATCAAGCAAGACGTGCCAAATCAACAACCTGTGATATCGCTGCTTGCGCTCTTGGCACGCGCGAATAGCAGCAGACACATCTGAAGCAGAGCTGGCAGATTCAATCGCAGAGGCAACATGCTCCAGCTCGCTCTGCAGTAGCACTGCTGTAGCCAAGTGCGGCAGGGCGACTAACCAGGAAAAGAGGAACCAGCTTGACAGACCGATGACGGCCGTGGGCGCCATATTTACCCACCAATCCGAAACCGAACCCTCCGCCACCTCCATTTGCGGTGTTGCAATCACTGCAATCGCCGTTAAGGCCAACGCCGACCTGTACAGATTCAAGACTCTCCTGGGACACACAGACACCGTCCAAAGTCGAGGGATCCCTGGGTAGAGGTTCCTGGCAAACGCGAGGTGGACTATCCAGGACGCCATGTTACAGACTTGGCTGACAGCCATGGCTGCCGTCCAAGCCAAAACCCGGCTGTTGACAAAGAAATGTTTGTGCACCGACCAAGCGTAACTGCTCACGACAATTTGCAGCACTAGGCATACGAGTTGCGCCACCACCACCCCGAAAGCCCTGGCTGTCACCGGCGGAGGTCGAAAGCAAGGCCAGAGTGGGCACCACCCGAGAAATGCCAGACAGCTACATGACAGTGTCCGGAAGCCTCCCATGACAAACGACGTGATGAATAAGGTACAACAACCACAGACCGCCACGAAAAGCCAGAAAGATCGCGAGCAGGTTCCGGCACTCAGGGAATACACGACAACGGCCGCCACCAGGCCGGTGAGCAAAGGCCGGTGCGCAGGCTGCACACACGCCTGCCGCAGAATCCTGGGGGCCACACCATGAAGCCAAAGATTAGGGCTTAGGGTTTAGGGTTTAGGGTTTAGGGTTTAGGGTTTAGGGTTTAGGGTTTAGGGCCTAGTGTTTAGGAGGATCACGGCACATACTTTCAACTTAAATGGCTCACGAATGGCACTATCTACAAGAGGCGCAAGATGGACCAAAAAAGCACCACTCAAGCGCACTTTACTATTCCGATGCTCCAAAGATCCAGTGTATCTCATCAGTTTCCACGAGCGGCTCTGCCACGGTCCCGAAGGACTCGTCGGGCTGCGCCGACTCAGCAGTCTCGAAGGACAAGGGCGGCACCGGCACGGTGCGAGGATCCATCTGGCCAGAGCAGGTCGCAAGCTTGATACACCAGACTTTCCCAAACCTATAGAACCTGTTGAACCCTAAACCCTACGACCCGCACTCCGGGACTATGCAGAACCCGACGCCTAAGGTTTAGTGATTGTGGGCTTAGGGTTTAGAGCTTCGGTTTTGTCGCTTTTTGGCCCCCAGCCTAGCTGACCTTGCGGCCACGGGTTTAGGGTGTTTGGGGCTGACGGCCTGCACCCACAAGCCCCAAAAGGTCAAGCGCCTCATCAGCGACCCTAAACGCTAAACCCTAAACCCTAAACCCTAAACCCCCAACTCCGAAGCCCTCCTGGGCCTCGCCCCTCTGTTTGGCCGAGAAGCCTACATTTAGGGCTTAGGGCTTTAGGAACCCCAAAAACTCGAAACCCCCACAAGCTAAGCTAAACCCATTAAGCACGGTTAGGGTATATCTACACCGCCGAAGCCGCTGCAAGCACAAAGCCGAGATGCTGCGGATGCCGAGCTGCTTGGGATTCGGGCTGAGGTTTTAAAGCTCGAGGTTCAGGGTTTTGCATGGCTCATGATTTCACGTGCCGGTTGCCATTTTTGGGAGTGTCAATGGATGGCGCTATTTGTTTGCTAGGCCTATGGTTTGCAGGCGCTAGCCCGAAACCCTAAACCCTTTGCACCCTACTGGGCCATCAGACCCACTGTTCCTTGTTCAAGCTTCGGATGGCTGTCTCTGGGTTTAGGGTTTGTGATGAATAGGAAGTGAGGAGCATGTGAAGAGCGTTCAACCCGCGAAGATCATGTCTGGGCCACGTACAGTTTACGACTTTGCCAAGCAACAGTCATATGCATGTAAGGCAGTGCAACATGCATAGCCCAGGAAGTCGCTTTTGACCGAATGTTCAGAGAAGCATAGAGCTCTATCTTGGTCGCGCAGAAGGAGAAACATGTTGCGTTCTCGATCATGGATTTGAAGCGCCGAGCTGTTTCACTGCCTGTGCTGCCTCCAGAATTTCCTCAGGTTATGGTCGCGCATTTTACGCCAGAAAAATCAAGACCGGGCCCATGATGGAGCCCTTATCCGAGCGGTCTGGTCCAGGTGCCATCACACGACGGCCACGTGTTCTGGATCTTTTTCGGTAAGTCAGATGGGAAAGGCAAAAGACTTCGTTCGAGTGGAAATAGTAAGTTCTCACCCTACAATACCAAGATCCTTGAAACCGTCTGCCTTCGGCATAGTCGGAGTTCAGAACGATGAATGCATCGTGATTGTCGATACGCGACTTGTAGGTCTGCATCAACGTGTCGAGGCTGTGCTTCGGCCATCTGCGTGTGGTGTTTTCGTCGGCATGAACCCATTCTCTGTAAGCAACACGACATGACGTGCGAAATAAGGTGCGACATGGATCTGGAGTAGAGAGCAAGTAGAGTAGCATCTGACAATGCTCTGGGCTCAGCAATCAACGCGTTGATCTCTTGATCTCTTGGCTCTCCGGAGGATGACTGTGAGCACTTGCCATGGCTAGGATGAGCTAGTAGGCTAAAGATATGCAAACAAACCCGAATCAGCTGAGGGCCGAGCATGCATCACACTCAACTGAGGAAGACGGCACTCAAAATGCGCACTCAGACAATCAATCAATCCATCAGGTCTTGAGTACTGCAGACAGTCAATCCATCAATCAGCGACAGCTCCTAGTGCAGGTTCACGCATTTCACTGACACTGGTGGAATTTTCTGGCATCATACAACCAGTGGCTCCTCTTCTACGTAGGAACAGTTGATCCTAGGCACTCCCAGGAGATTGGGCTTTCAGCTGGGATTCAAAAGCTGCAATGCGATTCTGCATGCTCCCCAACAAAAGCATTGGTTTGCTCAACCCATTGCGCAAGAAGAACCCTGATCCGGAGAAACATGTCCTGCGTCTGCATCTCTCACAGATTCAAGCTAATTCCAAAAGTCAAGAAAACATTGAAGCTGCCTGGATGCATTGAGTCGAGGCAAGGAGACGGCCACCTCCAACCTGCGTTCAAGGGTCAAGAGGTTTTGGGAGGCATGGGGGCAGGTCATGTTGAGGGTTTTGTTACGGTTCAAAGAGCCCAGAGCAAAAAGCTTCTTCGGATCTTCGACCCTCGCCATGGCCTCTAAAAGCTCTTCTTAACCTTAAACAAGTCCGGAGAGCCGGTGCTGTTCGATTGCATGTAGTTCGACTCTGCAGCGCTGAGTGTTCAATGGGTTTTGGCGCATGTCGCAGCGAGTCCTTGGGCAGGATCGGCCTTTTCGAAAGAAAGCCTTCGCATTGGCCAGTGACTGGGAAGCTTCCTGCCACGGTCCAGATGTTCCGAGCGCCAGATCACATGCCTGCGCAAATCCCTGCTGATACAGAGCTGGAGCTACCAGAGCTGAGCTAGAAGGCCTGCAGCAAGCTATCGATGTCCAAAGCATCTCCAAACTACGGCAGCCAGTGGTGTTCGATGCAAAACCTAGCTTGAAAACTGCAAACCCTCCATCCTAAAAACCGTGACTGCAAACAGTCATTAACCCAACACAGCGGCACGGCCTCCGCGCGAAGAAGCAGAGAAGTGAAGGCGTCTTTCGGGCATGCCTCCACTAAGAACTGGGCTCTATCTTGCAAAGATTCTGAACTGGGCTCTTGCAATTACTCTGATGGAAGCCCCACAAGCAGGAACCCATGCTATCGACTGCGGACCCCTAGTATTTTGGTTACACCACGAGTACGCTCCGGAACAAGATTTCCCCTGGCCACTGCACGCCCGAGGATATGGTGGCGGTGGCTGGCTCTTGGACCCAACTGGGATTCCTTCGAAAGGGTGCCCAGAGACTCCAATACCCCTTAATTCAGGAATATACCTTAAATCATATTAGGGATCCTACTATACTTTAAAGTATATTCCTTAATTGAGTCTCTGGGTGTACTGTAGATGCAATTGCCGCTGGGGTATTGCGCCAAAACAACCCCAATGCACCCCTGGCCCGGTCACACACCAACTGCGAGCGCAGTCTTCGAGTTTATGCAATCACAAAGGGCTGAAACATGTTGAAAAGGAGCTGTTGGAATTCGGCCTTCGGCCTAGAACCACAAAAAGATTGCTTCACGGCAGGCATGCCCAAGCGCTAAGAACCCCAAGCAGTCTGACAGAGCCCAGGAATGAAAATCGGACACGACCATCTTCGACAAGGATCGTTTCCTAAACCACCCCTGGCCATAAACCACACCATGACATCCATCTCCTGCAATGGAGCTGCTGCTGGCACCCGCTCATCCCCAGGTGTGCAGACAGAGCCCGGAACTCAAGCAGCCATCTGTCTAGGCGCGGGACGTTCTGAGCAGTTGGCGCAGGGATGCCGCCAAAGTGTGCGCAAGTTATCGGTCTGTTTAGCAGCAGTGCCAAGCCATTGTCCACCTTGTCAGATGCGAAGCCGAGCATACATGACAGCGCCAAGATGCGGCTGCCTCCAGCTGAGAGCACTGCGTTGATGGTGGGATGGTCAAAGACAAACGTGGAAGTTGCTCAATCTTCAAGCGCCCTGCATGGATCACAAGAAGTATCTTGTGATCTAACGTAACATCAACACGCATGTGATCAATGCAAACCATGCCATGCCATCGGCCTGCTCAGCTCCAGCCGAGTCACAACTCAAGTCCATCAGAGGACGGTCAGGCTTGACAGCCGGCACCTCACTGCTCACTTGAAATCTAAGAGAAAACAGGCTCAGAGCCAGCGGAATTCTCGTCGTTGTCTATTGCGAAGAAAAAGATACACCGGCCTGGAGGATAGCGTCCTGGAAGACCCGGGGGGCGAGCTGCATCAGGGGGCGTGTG